GAAAAAAGAAAAAAAACAAAAAAAAATAATATAATGTTATAATTAGAGTTATCAACCTGATAAATATCTTCAGAGAATATTCAACATAAGAAATAATATTATACAATCAAAGTTAGATATTTCTAGTATGATTTGAAAACAAAAAAGATATTCCTAATAGGATATGATTTTCTTAGAACCTGTTTGGATCCTCTTATTTTTAAGCTATAAGCTACTTATAAGCTAAAGCTAAAAAAAAGAGCTTAAAAAAAGAAGCTAAAAACTGTTTAGAAATTACATAAAAGTTTTAGCTTAAAAATTACTTAAAAGCACATATTTCAAGAAAATTATCTCTCTCTTTATTTTTATCACTCTTTATTTTTAAAAAAAACACACAATTCAAGAAAAATAGATAAGAGCTTAAAAAAAAGCTCCTCCTAGAAGCTTTTAGTTTAGAGCTTTTTTCTTCATTATAAAAAAAGAACTTTTCGTTATAAGAGCTTTTCTCAAAACCTGTTTGGCCTCCTAGCTTATGCTTATAAGTAGCTTATAGCTTGAAAAAAAAGAGAGGATCCAAACAGGCATTTAATCAATTTGAAACAGAATCAAATATTTTTTTATAAATACTAACCAGTCCATTAATCTGGTTTTAGATTTTAAGTTTTTCTCCTTTATAAAGATTGTGACTATCAGTAATCAAAATCAAATATATTTTTTTGGGTAACTGGTCATAATTAACTCTTTGAGGCGAATCAGAACCCCGGTATCTCCACGGGTTCGACTCTTTGAGCCGCCTATGTGACTAATCCAGAGTTCGGGTGCGAGTCCAAGGATTACGGTACTTATGCCCCTCCCCAGATTGTGTTGGTGGGATTCGAACCGAGGTTCTCTCCCACCACTCAGTCCCCATGCTACCAACTGAGCCACCACACTTGGATAAAATCAAATATTTCTAAAATGATTGGATATATAATTTATCATCAAAATTAGGGCTGTGCAAAAAAACTGGTTCACTTGCCCTGCCCTTGATTCGACCTTGACCCGACCCATAAATACCCATATTTTTTGAACTGGTTTAAATACTGACCCACTTTTATTTGGGTCAGTTTTAGACCTGACTCGTTTTAATATTGACCCACTGACCCAAAACTTGACCCATACCCAATACGTGAAAAAAAAATCACAATTACATTAAAAGAGAAGTTTTAAAGTAAAACAATTACGTCAAAATTTTTTATGGAAAATATTTTCATAAAAATTGTACAGATTTCAAATTTCTGCGAAAGTTTTCAACGGAAATATTTTCGTCATCAAAAAATTTTGACGGCAAAAAATTTCATCAAAATTCTTTACAGATTTCAAATTTTGGCGAAAGTTTTCGACGGAAACATTTTCGTCAACAAAAAATTTTGACGGCAAAAAATATCGACGGCAAAAAATCTCATCAAAATTCTTTACAGATTTCAAATTTCGGCGAAAGTTTTCGATGGAAATATTTTCGTCATCAAAAAATTTTGACGGCAAAAAATTTCATCAAAATTCTTTACAGATTTCAAATTTTGGCGAAAGTTTTCGACGGAAACATTTTCGTCGTCAAAAAAATTTAACAGCAAAAAATATCGACGGCAAAAAATTTCATCAAAATTCTTTACAGATTTCAAATTTCGGCGAAAGTTTTCGACAGAAATATTTTCGTCATCAAAAAAATTTGACGGCAAAAAATTTCATCAAAATTCTTTACAGATTTCAAATTTTGGCGAAAGTTTTCGACGGAATTATTTTCGTCATCAAAAAATTTTAACAGCAAAAAATTTCATCAAAATTCTTTCAAGATTTCAAATTTCGGCGAAAGTTTTCGACAGAAATATTTTCGTCATCACAAAAATTTGACGGCAAAAAATTTCATCAAAATTCTTTACAGATTTCTAATTTTGGCGAAAGTTTTCGACGGAAACATTTTCGTCATCAAAAAATTTTGACGACAAAAAATTTCGACGGCAAAAATATTCATCAAAATTCTTTACAGATTTCAAATTTCGGCGAAAGTGTTCGACGAAAAAAATTTCGTTAAATTTTTTGACAAAAAAAATTTTCGTCGAAATTTTTAGCGAAACACATTTCCATCGAAAATTTTCAACGAAACACATTTCTATAAAAAAATTCCGTAAATTTTTTGACAAAAAAAACATTTTGACGAAAAAAATATTCTGTCAAAATTCTTTAGAGAATCTAAATTTCGTCGAAAGTTTCAAATGAAACATTTCCCTCGAAATAATTTTCGTTAGAACACATTCCCATCGAAATTTTGAACGAAAAACATTCTGTTAAATTTTTTGACAAAATTATTTTTTCGTTTAAAACATTTGATGGAAGAAATCATTTTCGTCAAATCTGTTGACGGAAACTAAATTTCAATAGAAATTTTTTTTTTTGTACAAATTTCGACGAAAAAATAATTTTGTGACGAAATTTTCGTCTTTTGCAACGTAAAAATTTCGACAAAATTTTGTGAGAAAACCAAGTCAAAAACGGGTCAGGTCAGATTTGACCCAGTTCAAAAACCAAGTCAGACCCACTTCAGAAACCAAGTCAGGTCAGATCCAAACTGGTTATGAACTAGTTCAACAAAATCCAATCCAAGTCAGACCTGACTTGGATCAAATTAAAGCGGGGCGGGTCAAAATACCTGACCTATAAAAACTAAGTTGGGTCGAGTCGGACAAAAACCTGACCCGACCTGACCCATGCACAGCCCTAATCAAAATCAAAATCAAATATCCTAATATAATGGAAGAAATTCCGATCATTATTCTTATCCTTAATAGAATCTTCTTCTTTTTTGGTAATCAATAGATACTTCTTTTTAACTCATTAAGAACTAAGAATTATTATGAGTATGCTTAGAAGTGTTCATCTATTTATTCAAACTACAACGAAAAATTGATAATCGAAAATTAAAATATTATAAACAAAAAAATTACATATTTTAATTGAATTGGATCGATTTTCGGAAATGAAAACCAATCCAATATATTATGTATTTATTAATTTTAAAATTTCACTAATGCCCTTTTTTAATTTTATATCTTTTTTTATTTTCTAATTATCAAGTTACTAACAATATTTTATTATAATTATTTTAGATATTTCTCTAAATACAAAAGTTGACAAAAATTCTAGTGCGAATTCTAATTAAAAGTTAATAATGTAAATTGCTATTTTTTAATTTCAATAGTTCATGTATTTATTTTAAATTTGTTATTGCTCGAACCATTTCTTAATCTCTTATTTTCATGAATATTAGTGCATTACCCGTGCAATGCACGGAAAAAAAGACGAATTTTTTTGAACATTGAGCAAGTAAAAAGAGTGAAGTATAGAAGAGAATAATGGTGAAATAGAATCTTGTTATTTTATAGACTTGAAATCTTGGATGTTATTGATAGCAAACTAACTTGTTTTATTTTTTTATTCTCTATTAGTCTATTTTAACTCTTCATGAGTTTGAAGATTTGAATTTTTCAGTTGTTTGTAATTTTATATGTTTTCATTTTGATATAGTTAGTGATTTGTATGGTTGAAATTTTAAGCTTTTCAAAAAATTGAAAATTGATCCAATCCAAATCGAATAAAATTGGATTAGATTTAAAAAAAAATACAAATCGAGTGAATAATTAAATAATCAAATTGAATGGATTGGATCATAATTTTTGTTTCAAAACCAATCCAATTCAGACCGAAAACATTCTAAGTATACTTATACAATTCAAAAAAATTTATTACAAGGTAAAAAGATAAAAATGGTTGCATAAATTGTAACTCGTATATCAGGAGAGCTTGACTATCTAGTATAGTGTTGTTTCATAAATTTTGAAAAAACAAATCACCCCATTTTGAGCAAAGGCGCCTTTGGAAGAATCAAGTGGATAAAGCAACTACTCAGGCAAACACATTTATTTACATCACAGCTGTGTGCGCATCCTATTTGCTTTTTTCTTTGTAATTATATTCTAAAAATAAAATAAAAAATGAAGTGATACATTTCGCATGACCAATGATGGAAAAGATAAATGAGGCACATGAATCATTTAATTTCAATGCAAAAAGGTGTGTTGTGACGCTTAGCTTGTTATGTCACGTACATTCTCATGTCTCCTTAAAATTCACAAAATGTATAGTCATGTAATTATGGATAGCTGCAACTGTATATGATGTTTGATCTGAAATATTTATTGAAACAAACATATAAATTTCATAATATATGGTGTGGCATTTCTTTTGTGCAAGCTGTGAAATGTGCAAGTCTATGACACAATAATCCATGACCCATTATTATACTGTTCTGTGCACGCTTCACAAGTCACAACCCCTCTCATGGAATTCAGCGTTATATTCAAACTTCCCCTCATACCCGCGCACTAGACAATAAATTAATATTAGTTTTTGAGTTCAACCTTTTTCTTGCCAGTAAAGAGAACCAACCAACTAAATAATAATAGTTCAATTAACGTATGACAATTAAGTAAATAAAAGTGAGAGCATCTATTACATCTTCTGCAGTATCATCTCTTTGCAAGAAGAGATTAAGGCAGCATTTGATAAAGGAGAAAAAAATTTTATCCGAAAATCTCAATTTTCAGAAATATGATAAAAATATTCAGTTTACGATAATATTTAAAAATTAAAAATTTAAAAAAAATTAATTTCTTAAAAATTCTGAAAAATACCTTGTATCTTGTATCAAACGCCTCTTTAAAGTCTCGATACTTGATTCGCTTCGAATTCTGAATTAATCAGTAAAATTATCGGAGGATAATTTAAAAAATAATAAAAAATGAAAAGAGAACTATCCAACTCAGATACGTGTGACCGTTTTTTAAAAAAGTTAGAGAGAGAAAGAGAAGTGAAAACAAAACAACGTATGAGACAGAGTAACCTTGGTACTTTGGTCTAAAAGTCCTTCATTCAATCTTCTACAGTTTCTCCCATATGATGAGGCATTATCAGTTTTTCAGTTTTAGCCAGAATACATAGCACAAGTTCAAACAGCATTTGTAGTTAAGGTATTTGTCTTCTTGACGATTTTTGAAGTTTGAACCCCTTTTTTTATTTTCCTCATTTGGGTATCCCCAAAGTTCCTCAATTCGTTTAGATCCACCACCTTTTTCTGGGTTATCAGTTATGTACCAGAAAATCAAATAAATAGGTTGTAGCTTATTGGGTTTGGAGAAAAATACGATTTTGATCCAATACCAAGTACCCCTTAGTAACCTATTTATGTATTCTTCATTGCCCATTTTCTATGTTTCTTGTTTCTTGTAGCTCTGGCTCCCCAATTTCAGCATTGGATTGTGTTCTCTGTTCTGTTCTGTTCTGCCTTGACTACAGAGGATAGTGAGATCAAAGGAGTGTGTCTGAAAAGTTAGTATCCGAGGCCATTTCTTTAAAGGGAAAGAGGGAAAGAACCATTTTTTCTTTTCTTTTTCAGTTGAATACCTTTTGGTTTGGGCTTTTGGAAATGGAATTTATACTTATTACGGTGTAAAGGTGAATGAAAGAGAAGGAAGAAGTGGTGGTTTCCCTTTTACTTTTTTTTTTCTCATTTAATTTTTTCTACAAATCATAAAAGCTTTCATATTATAAAGGTAGAGCGTTGGTGGCATGCAAGTTGGCTCCAGTAAAAACAGGGAGCGTCAAAGAAAGGGAGCCACACCAATAGAATAAACACTCTCAAAAGAAAAATCATGCAAGATATGAAGCAGCAGAAGCAGAAGTGCAATGAAGAATCTAAGAAGAAGGAGCGTCATATTGTGACTTGGACTCAAGAGGTGCTTCTTCTCTCTTTATCAGTTTGTATTTTATTGTATTTTAAATATTCTTTTTTGTTTACCTTTTAATCCATTGCTTTTGAGTAGTGTCTCATATTGGTTATGTGAGTTTCAGGAGGATGATATCCTTAGAGAGCAAATTGGTATTAATGGAACTGAAAAGTACTCGCTCTCTTTTCGTAATTCTTCTTTTGGCATGTTCACTATTCTTTCTTCCTTGATATGTGACACTAAAGGGATTTTTATTGCAATAACTATATGCAGTTGGGCAATAATTGCATCTAAATTCAAGGACAAAACAACAAGACAGTGCAGAAGAAGGTGAAGTTTTTATTTCTAGTGTATGTTTTGAATTTTGATCTTGATTCATTAAGAGATCTTATTATCCTTTAGCTCATGAAGGTTTTCAAAGCTTCTGCTTTATTGTTACTATCAATCTGACGACGAAATAACTAATTAAATCTCAGATGGTACACTTACTTGAATTCTGATTTCAAGAAAGGTGGATGGTCACCAGAGGAAGACATGCTCTTATGTGAGGTATATTGATACTAACTGTGTTCAAAAGCTACACTTTCAGCTAAAGCAGTTGCCATGGGAATTTAACAAGCTATTTTATCATAGAAAGATATAGAACTTTGGCAACTTGGACTTCTTTTTTATCTTTCTGTCTTAATGCCTCTATGCTGTAGACAACATCCATTTATGAACTTGAGGATGTAACTGGCTAGTATCATGGAAAAGTTATTTATCTTGCATAGCCTACCCTATTATTAAGAGTACATTACAATACAACCACACCAACCCAGATCTTATATGAATATATGCATACTTCAGCAGATGGTACAAACTACAAATTATTTCCACAACAAAAAATGTATCTTTTATGAATAAATGTGGCTGTGGTACCTAATTTCTTGCTATCCTCTCTGTAGGCTCAAAAATTATTTGGTAACAGATGGACGGAAATAGCAAAGGTGGTTTCAGGAAGGTAACCAAAAATTCATTCTTTCCTTAATGCAAATACATGAAAACCATTTTGTGAACGGTTTATTCTTGATGCAATGCTCTCTATGCAGAACGGATAATGCTGTGAAAAACCGTTTCTCCACCCTATGCAGAAAGAGAGAAAAATATGCAGCTTTAGCAAAAGAGAACAACACTTCATACATCAATTCAAATAACAAGAGGATCATGTTCCAACATGGTTATAATACAGATGCAACATCAGAATCTGCAGTACCTTTTAAGAAGATGAGGTACGGTACACTTTAAGTATCAAAATACATGAATTCTACAAAGAACAGTATTAACATGTTATCTGATTGCAATATAGAAGGGCCCATATCCCTGATGATGCAGAAAAGATCAACTTCGGGGACAGATTACATTTGCAGAATGGAACTCCAATAAATCAGCAGCCAAGAGAACCGTTTGCAGTATTAGCTCAAAACTCCCATAATGTAAACAGCTTGCGAGACCAGGATCATGTTTGCAATGCCAAGTTTAGCAGTTCCGGTAATTTTCTTTAAATTGAAAACTGTTTGTTTTGGAACTTTTCTTTTTCTTTTTTTGGTACATAGTTTGTTTTGGAACTTAGTTCTTACATTATGAAATCTAAAACAGGAAACAGGACGTAATTAATATATTTAGCAAACAAAACTTTGGCCATCCTCTCATTCTTATATAATCCTGGTTTATCAAGCTTCTGCAGCTCAAAATAACAAGATTCAAGGAGCATTCCTTAAAAAGGATGACCCAAAGATAAGTGCATTGATGCAACAAGCAGAGTTACTAAGTTCGCTAGCTTTAAAAATTGATACAGAGAACATGGACCAAAGTCTTGAAAACACATGGAAGGTGAGAGTTGATAGTTTCCACACTTTCTCCATTTTTGAGTATTGAACACCTTACATGCGCTTCTTCAAAAGAGAAATTCCTAGTTCGTGTGATGAAAAAAACCCAAAAGCATAGGTTATATCTCTAGAAGTTCGACATCAACATTGTTAGAATATTAGATATGATGTGATTCGATATGATTGGATTCCGTCATATCTAATCACATCATATCTAATATTCTAACAAACATAAAGCAATTTTTCATTCATTATTTGTCAACCTATCTATATGAAAGTGAAAAAGTCATTTAACATATTTGATCTTGGCTTAGTTCTTTAGCACCCTGGTAGTATTAAAAGCTTTGCGAAAAGTTTTAGGCATTACATGCTCCTATTATTTCTAGGTCATTTGCAACTTGTCGAGTGGAGGGAGAGCCTTGGAGCAACAGTAAGATTGCTCTTTGTGATTGGAAGGTAACGGGCTCAAGTAAGAGAAACAGTCCCTTTACAAAATATAAGAATAAGGCTGCATACAATACCCTCACTCCTATCCTCCCAAGTTGTGGAGCCAAGTGAACTGGGATTTGCCTTTTGCAACTTCTCTAATGATGAGTCTGCAGCATTTATTTAAGCATGGCAACAAAACATGAAACATAAACATTGTTAGTCACTCAATCCTGCCTTTGAAAACTTTGAAATAGTTAACCTTTGTGATAGTTTAGCGGAGTTTCAGTAGTTCTTCCACTTCTAGTATAAATTATTCCGTTTGTGCCCCATAGACCATCTTCCTAGCATAATGTCAAATATTAAAAGTTAACATGATTCTAGAAGGCCCATCACAAGTTGATATCAATAATTCTTGAGCATATAAATACGAGAGATGTCATTATTCCTAGACTTCAAATATCATCTAACACTTGTTTGAATTGATGCTAGGTTCTTCAAGAGTTTCTGAACCGAGCCAAACAATCAGATATCCCTAGAAATAAGTTATCCGATTTACAGCTTGTAGATCTTAAAGATATTTTTGAGGACTTGAAGAGTAGTAATGAGGGAGGCCAGCCCTGTTGGAGGTACTTTAAGTTCTTTGAAAATATAACTGCATGTGGGCTCTGTGAAATGTCTAATAGTTTCTGAATATGTTATAGGAAAATGGAACTACTTGAAGACTCTCCATGCAGTTCTGAATACAGTACAGGGTCAACTCTCCTGCCTCACTCAGCTGGTGATAATTTGGAACACTCATTGCATCAGTATATTGGAACTGAAATGAAGTCTACACAATTTGGAGATAAAAAAGTTTTAAGAGCAGGTGAGAAAGGGGTTCTTTCCACTGCAAATGTGGATCAAGGTAAGAAAATCCACTTCCCTGATAATTAAATAAAAAGACAATTACAAGAAAAGAATTTTTGGTCAAAATTTCAATTTAGAAAGAATTAACCACTTAACTAATTGATGATGTTCAAAGATTTAATGAGTAATCACTTATTGACTTAATTAGCTACTTGAGTGGTTAATTGATTCTAAACTGAATATTTTTATCTATATTTAGTTTTTTTATAATTTTTTTAAAATAAAATGTTTTTTCTTTTTCTATATGTATTACCATAACATTTTAATGAACAGGAAATTCTAATGAGATATGTATTTTTCTGTAGCAGATATGTTACCATATTGTGAGGTACAGATAAACAATGATGGCAATGTTTCTTCCTCGTCAAAATTGGAGTTCAGTTCCCCTCTTAAAGTAACCCCTTTGTTCAGATCCTTGGCTGCAGAAATCCCCAGCCCACAATTTTCGGAAAGTGTAAGTTACCTAAGCACTTGGGGATTAAATATTTTTAAGGCCGACAGAAAGATTATAACAGTAATAGTGACAAGTAGTATGATTGCATTATTAGTAATATGATTATGACATACCAGGGAGATGACTGAACCCATATATCTTAACAGTGGTATCAGAAATAATACTCTAATTCTCTCAGGGTTCTATAAGATCAATCTCAATCGGCAGCAGGACTTTCAGAATGCCGTTTATAGTCTACTCTAGTGGTGATGGGAATTTTTCAATAGGAGCTAGTGGTGGAGCTTGTTGTAGTCACGAAACTTATCAAAGCTTAAATAACATGTTAATGTAGTAAAGCTTGAGATTTTATCTTTAGAAACTTAACATGATTAGGTGTTGGATTAGTGGAATCAAGTGTTCTTTTAATTGTAGTAAGATGACTTGTGTTTACCGGGAGCGAACCAGAGCAGTGGTAAAACTGTTCCTTCATGACTGAAAGGTCATGGGTTCGAATCCAGGAAACAGCCTCTTTGCAATTATGTAAGGATAAGGTTGCGTACAAGGATTTCCTCCACCCCACACTCGCTAGTCGAGTTTAACGGGGAGTGATTTTTTTTTTTAGTAAGATGACTTGTGCTTACAGATTATTTTTGTGTTTACAGATTATTGATCCAAAATAATCTATCAATAATTAATCAAATAATGGTAGCATTATATATTTGCATAACTAGTGTCAGTCGATGAAATCATATTAACATGTACAAACCTTATCTCCATTTAAACCATTTTGTGACAGTTATTACCTTTGATAGATGTCAAGTATTCCTCAATCATTTTTCCACTTCTAGGTTCATTCAGGTTCAGATGAATTCATCTTTTGAAACATTTAGGCAATTCCTACCTATATCATTGATGCAGATAAAAAAAGGGTAAACAAATCAGAGAGGTTCACCCATAATTATTTCAGCATAATTTTCATCCGGATCAAGCAAAACAGGGAAGGGTTGAAAAAGTGGGTGGTAGTTATGTGATTAGAAATAGCTTTCAGGATAATAAAAAACTTGTTCAGCAACAATGTGTATGCATAATATATCATGTCAACAAAACTGATTGGTAAAGCTTCTGCTTGCCAGGATAAATTAGACTTCAAGTATATGTATTCTTTCTGTTCGTGTTTATAATTTAGTATTTGGGTGACATAAAGGATAATATGCTGGTGAACTTATGTGATACATTACATGGGGTTTTTTAAGCATTGCCTTTGGATTTTCTTGCTTACAGATCTTGTTGTGAAAGATCTTACAGACATTCACCATACATATGGTAAGCACATAATAATGATATATTCATGATTTCATGCTGAAATGAAAACTATTGCAGCAAGAAATCTCTAAGCAAAAAGTACTTAATTTTGTTGCAAGATTTAGAGCAGAAGCTGTTAGATGTTATTATCATCTGCTTATCACCTAATATATTTGTAGAATACAAAACAGACATCTACCATGCATTCTGCTTGAATAATATACTTCAGCTAAATCTTTGTCTATTCCTGCTAGTGTATGTGGATTGCATGTTAGTTTACACCACAGAGATTCGAGGTAATATGACTCAAGAAATTAGGGAAACGGCCTACATATGAAGCACACTGTTCTCTCCTCATAGTCATAAACTTACACTATGAGCATGGGGTTTTACCATCTGCTGCATTAGAATTATTCACACCTTTTGTTTTTATTATTATTATTATTATTATTATTATTTGTAATGACACTTGTTTGTTTTTGTTAAGCATTAGAATTTATCAGAGTTTGACACTAGACTAACCATTTTGTTAACACTTTTTTTCAGGAAAGGAACTTCCTGAGGAAAACACTAGGAATGGAGTCTCCATCCTTCAACCCAAGTGCCAAGCCCTTGCAACCGCCTCCCTGCAAAAGAGCCCTATTACATAGTCTATAATCCATGGCAATCTGGCTTGTGGAGTTCCTCTCTGCCTCGTTTGAGAGAGACTGCAATTTTACTCTGCCTAAAATTTTGAAAGGCATACACTCCCCGAGAATGCTAAGACACACATTCTTGCCATCTTCAACATATCTAGCATTATCCATTTCCTCCTCCCCTTCCCTCAAAGTTACCTTCTTGCACAAAAATTTGGAGTGCTTAGTGTGTCATTTTTGGTTTGTCTTCTTTTGATATTGTTCTGGGTTTGTTTTTCTCCAATCCAGCTTTTGGTCTTCTTTTTTTTGTACAGAGCCTGCTGTGTAATCACTAGTCATCCTGAGTGTAAGTTTACATTAGCATTTTGCCTATCCTACTACATATAATGAACAGAAACATAGATAGAAAAGAGAGAGAAAAAAAAAAGGGGATAAAAAAAGAGAGTAAAAGAGGTTTAACCAGTGGCAACTTTGATTCTTATTTGTTGTTTTGTGTGTTAATAGATTATAGAATAAGTATTCTTTTTCCCTTTTGGTTCTGATGTACTGAAACTTAATTATAATTGAGTGGAAATGCATTTTGGTTTCTGTGTGCAGATACTGTTTCTGATCTGTCTTACATTCCCAGATTTTGCACATAGTCAAACGTAGAGAACAAGGAAAAAGAGATGTGAGAGAAGTGAGAACTTCTCAGCAGAAAACCAAATGGACATAAACAAATGAAAAATGAAAAAGAAGAGAAATGCAAAAGACAAATGCCATAAAACATAACTCAGTAGTCAGAGGAAGCTAATGTCAATCAATTTGTTGCATAATGCAAAACTTAACATGAAATGAAGAACACAAAAATATGTACTTACATAGTGTATATTGGACTCAACGCACTCTGATCTGACTGAGACATGCACCCCTCTCTCTTTGACATGGTTTGTTTGCCATGGTGTATGGCATGTGCTGTTTGGAAGAAGATTTCTGGGGGAAGTGCATTCTTATTTAGGACATTTAGTTCATGGCTGGTGGTGGAATACAGGAGGCAGGTAATGATGACTAAGGCAAAAGTAATTGGTTAAAAGAAGGAGGGAACGCCCAACAAAATAAAGTGCATACCTTAGCTGTTTAACTTTCTCTAAGAAAAGGCTCATTTTGACTCATTTGACCTACCAATTTCCACTCCCCCTAATTAATTGAATCCAAATCAAGAAACAAATAAGCTGGAAGAATTCTTAAATTGATTTTGAAATGTGTAGTGCTTTTTATATAAGTATTTTAGTTGCAACTTGTGAGAAATTCTTAGCTGCTATAGCGCAAGAGAATTTCTTAATTACTTGGGTAGGGAATATTTTACTCTCAACAGTGGATTATGTACTACTTACTCTCATTTTAACTATGTTTTTAATCCTATGAGTGATACGATATATCCGGTAGTATAAACTAAGAGAAATCTCTTAAAATCCTTGCTTCAAGACCAACTAAGATATTCTCTGCAACTATATTTCTATGTTCAAGTAAAACTTTGGAAGTGGTGCATAAAGCATTGACCTTGAAAGCATTGGACCAATTAGTGTGTCAATGAAGACCCAACCACTTGTTTAATAATAATTTCTACTTCTATTTCTTTTCCTTTTCCCCCTATAGTAATCATTGCTTTAAAGATTCAAATTTGAGCTTCAAGATCTGAAAGTAATTACCATTCAAACTAAAATGTTTTAACGTCTGTTAAACCAATCCCGAACCTAGTGTAAGAGCCTGATAACGATTTTTTTTTTTTTGGTTTAATTTAATGATAGTGTGATACTGGAATAATATTCTTCACAAAAGAGAGTAGATAACATAATCTGCGAATCGTGTTTACAGAATACAACTTTGGCTTCAGGTGCTATAACACTAACTCCTTATTTAAGATACAGAGGCATGTGATAATCAGTACGAACCAAGAGGACATGGAGTATAAACTTCCATCTTCTCAAAAAAGCATCGGTCAGTTAACAATATCCTATTTGTATAAATCTAAATCTAGCTTATATAACTTTAAGGTTATATTGATATGACTACGGTTGGAAGGGCAAATGAGCTATAATAGCATTAACGTTTGAATTCAAAACTGCTGAAGGTTTCCTCTTCACATAGCTTTTCTCTTCTGCAATCTCTGCAGCTTCTGCCACTTGAGGTAGATCTGGTATGATAATCCAGAGAATACCATAAAAACACACCCCCATTGCTTTCTTGATAGGGGATTCCCACTCAATAGTGAAGACACCACAATGCTAACAAATTTGCGAGTAGTAGTGATGGTGGTGTTAGCCAAAGAACCAAATCGACTTATCGTCAGAAAGATGAAATTCTGGCCTACAGCACCACAACAACAATAAAGAAATATATCCCATGCTGCATCTGGATGCTGTTTGCAAAAGCGAACTGCCTCAAATCCACTCCCACGAGGCCAGCCAAACATGTAAATCATGTTGTATATGGTACCCCATAAATTCATGCCCAACATGATATCCCATGCACTTGTTTTTGGGTACCTAAGACAAACCGATAGTTTAGAATAATAATTGCAGCAATAAATTATCTTTGAATCTACATTTGAGATGTCCTCGACTAAAAGAATCATCTTCCGTTCTAAAAGCCAAACAATGTTGATAAGTGAACATTCAAACACCAAAGAAAGAAACTCAAATTTTGACATGTAAATGACAGAAGTCATCACAGTTTTCCCAAAAAGCAACATCATCATCATGGGAGAGGGAAAAATAATAAATCAAACTCTTCATTGTCATGTCTCAAAGGGCAAGGGAAGCGAGGGCTAAATGTAGGTGACGACATAAGAAGATAAGATATCAAGAAATGCAATTTGAATTTTGACATGCAAATCAAAAGAGGGATAAGCTTCCCTTATAATACCTTGCTTTTAAGGAATCCTGAGTTGCGTTTGTAAATCCATCAAATGCAAGGTTCAGGAAACACAGTCCATATCCAAGGGGAGCATTTGGATGTGCCAACTTGCTGATAGTCTTTGAGCTAGTCTGTAAGCAAGCATAGGCAAAGATGAGAAAATTGAAAGTCCACTTAAATTCCTAAGCGAAGTCTCTGGCTAAAGACTAAAATGCTTTGCTATGTTACTGTGAAGAGTTCTAACCTTTAGAAGTGCAAATGTTGATACCCCTCCAGCGACAAGGAATGTACAAAGGTATTCTGGAAAAGTGTATCGTATACCGTACACTAGACTACCCATCAACATAACTGCATAAAGTTAAGGTGAATACTTTGTTAGACATTCAGTTGTAATTGAATAACTACTAAAAAATAAACAAAAACCTTAAACTAAAGGATTTTTCTATTATTTTTCCAGCACAATGCTTACATATCAGAACCAGCCACAGGCATCTACATCTCACATACCAAAAAAGATGGCAAACAATAATGAATGAAACTATTTTCGACCCACCCATACATTGAAAGAAATAAATGTGGGCATATTAAGTAAAAGTTGAAGCCGCAAATCAAGTTAAAAGCAGTATAACATCCAAGCACAGGCACACACAAAAATTCCTATATTATCATAGAATAAAACTATGCATTATAAAAAATCACTCCTCGTTAAACCCGACTAGCGAGTGTGAGTTTGAAGAAATCCTTGTACGCAGCCTTACCTTTACATAATTGCAAAGAGGCTGTTTCCTGAATTCGAACCCATGACCTTTCAGTCATGAAGGAATAGTTTTACTACTACTCCGGTTCGCCTCCTTTTAAAACTATGCATTATGCTTTACCAAAATAAACTCTATTCATTGTGTTGGTAAAGATTCAATTCAATTGGCTTAGCAACTTAATAAAGTGAAATTCACAGAACATTTATCTTTAATCACGCTTAAAAGAAAGGATATTTGTACTAAAAAAGAAGAAGAAAGTATATGAAAAACAGAAAAACAAATATAGAAGGGATTAAGCATAAACATACTACTAACAAATGCAAGGTTACTAAATAAATAAATTAGAGGTGCCATCAGGCCTTTGTTCTGGTGCTCGCCACTTGGTAATTTGTCAGTTTTCTCCCTCCCCAGATTAGAGTTCGAACCCCAAGTAGACAGGAGAAAAAAGAAAGAGTCTTTTTTTTAGAGAAAAAATCAACTACTTTCAATTGATAATTAATAAAATGCAAGTTTCTCTCATGCATGAAGCACATTGTACTGACCTGGAATCATTTTTGAGGATTTTGCCAGGACCTGCAAGAAGCAAGAATAATACCACCCTCAAAAACCATTCGACTGACGACATTGAAATAAAAAAATATCACATCAATGCTGTGGCAGATTGGACGAAAATTCTCAAAAGACCTTTATTCTTGAAAACTAGAAGAGCTCATACTTATTATTAATTATAATTTTCTAAATATTACGCCTTGTCCAAACCGAACACCACCTTTTATACTCAGTTTGGTTACCCGTGGTGTAAAACTCAATGATGTAAAACTCAATGATGTACAACGAGGATTAAGTGTTTCTCCAGGTGCTCGGGAAAATATTTGTCACATAATTCCCCACTACTATACATAAAATGATACGTGCTATTTGTATACTTTCTTTTTTTATTCATACGGTTGGATAAAGACTAATAATATAGCTCCAAAATAGATCAAAATTACAAAAAAAAAAAATTCCACCCAACCCCAGAAGTTGTTTTGAGGCATTGAGAGATAACTTTATCAGGAGAAACATTTAACTCTTATTATTATTATCATTATTTCTATCTACCCAGAACAAAATATAACTCTGAAATAAACCAAAATTAAAAAAAAAAAAAAAAAATTCCCTCAATCCGAAGTAGTTTTGGTTCTTAGGGTATGAGGAGATAATTTTATAACCCTTATTTTTTTCACATAAAGTTTATTTCTTGAGGGCGAGTCTAGGAACTGGTAAAGCCGTAAAGTTATTCCTGAGTGGTAACTGGTAACTAAAGGCACTTCGTGACTGAAACTCCCAGGTTGGATTCTAGAAAACAAAATTCTAAGTGTAAGTAAAGATATAGGAATCATTTATAAAGCTTGTTCCTGAATTTTCACCTCCATTTTAAACGGAACACACACTTTAGGTTAAAAACTAGAAATCATATAGGAATCATTTATAAAACAAAGAAGCCAAAAATAGAAAGAAAAGATACCTGAGCTGGGTAACTGATATACTTGAGTGCTTCAATTCCCATAGCTGGACCAATTGTGTTAGTAATCCCACAACTCCAGTATGACCACCAAGGAGCACCTTCACTACTCCCACTCGACCATATCTTAATCACTGTGCATTCACATTTGTAACAACCACTCAACACCCCAAAACAAAAACAAAAACAAAAACAAAAAAAATCATTTTTTTTATTTTTTCAGAATAACTCTGAGGAGTGGTTATTATAGGCATAGAAATTATTAGAACAGAAGCTCACTCATATATGACCACACTAAACACACTACATTCTGCGCCAAGTTTAGAAATGTCAGATACTCAAACCTCTCGCCATCTGCACCGAACCGTTTCGTCGACCTGAACCAAACCGAACCGAACCAATAAAATAAAATAAATTGATATTTTTCAGTGTTTTATATGCGCTTTCCAATAAATCAAACGCGCAATTTGGAACAAATGCATGCATTATCGAATTAGAATTTCTGAGAAAATTGGAAGAAGAAGGAGAAGAAGCATACAGGGTTTCTTGAAGAACGCCTTGGGTGATATATGCAGACCAGATACCGGCGATGCAGAACGCCAACACGAGCACGTGGCGGAGCCTTCCGCCGTGAACCTCCATGAACGTTGCGGGAACCGCCGGTGATCGGAAACGGGCGGAGAAGAAAAAAGTGAGAGGAGTCAACGACGTAGCTTGAGGGCCGATGCGACGGTGTTTTGAGGAAGACGACGTCAATATAATACGGAGCGCCAATTTACGTGGATTTTCCACGTGGAAGTATTTTATTGGTTGGAGTCTTCCGTTCGCGTTCCTTATTGGCTGCGCAAACGTGTACAATGGTCACCTTGTTTCATGAAAGGTTACTCCTCCAAATGTGCTTCTGAACTTTTTATTTTTAATTTACGAGAAAAGTTCAAATATTCCTAGGTTTCTTTAAAGCGGAAATTAATTAATGTTATTATCAAATGATCAATTATATTGATTCAACAATTATATTTATTTTTATCTTTGTATGGTTATGATTCTCTATATTTAATATTTTATATTTATTTTCATCTTTGTATGATTATGATTTCTCACATTTAATGCGGTAAAAATAAAAATAAATATGGAAAATCATAATCATACAAAGGTGAAAATAAATATAAAGTATTAAATATAGGGAATCATAATCATACAAAGATGAAAATAAATATAACCATTAGATCAACATAATCGATCTAACTGTGAAATTAATTGATAGTAACACTAATTGATTATTACGATATCCTACCCCTTCCTTAAATCATTTATATTTCCATGCTCTCTTTTTTTTTTTTATCTTTCACATTCCTATATTTTTTTATCCAAATCCCTTAATAATATTAAAAATTTAATCAATATACTATTTTATCCTTCTTACAAAAATACAAATATGATACTTTTTATGTAATCTTCCTTAAACTTTGCAAGAATTTTTTACAATACAAACTTACTTAAGTTTCAGACAAAATATATGAAGTGTCTACAATAAAGTAATAAATTTTCTTTCTAACCTTCTCCTCTAAGATGAAATTTATTTTCTATAATTGGTAGATACACGTATATTTCTAAAATTGTTTTCATTCATAATCTTAGATTGAGTTTGTGTGCGCATAAGATAGCATCATAAGTTTCCCTTGAGATTTTGTTTTGAAGGAAACTTGCACTTTTTCGTCTCTTGATTGTGCTGAAGTGATAGTAATCGATTCTGACTTTGTTCAATTAAAATATGAGTTCTGTTATTGATTAGAACTAGTATTTTAAATTTGCAATATTGATATAATATCGGGGTATCTTTTTCTCATTTCACATGAAAAATATGGTCATTCTTGCAGGCTTTTTGACTCTTTTGCCTCTCATTAATTAATTAATAACCAATTTGCCCCTGATTAAGAACTATCCACCAACCTGCCACCTTTTAGTCGACTACCTTGCTTTTTTAGTCGAGCAAATGGTCAAACTTCAGAAAGTGGACTACAGCAAATTTAGTCGACTAAAAAATCATCTTAATCGACTACATTTTTGGGATATTTAGTCGACTAAGTAACGATATTTAGTCGACTAAATATCGACGGATTTGTTTTTTAAAAACCCCCCCCATTCGGCAGAGGGGGAGTAGGATGACCTAATCGACTAAGGAGGCGGCCCAAACCCCAAATCCGCAGGAGCAGCTGAAGAACGCCCCAAACCCTTCCCTTAGGCGTGTGGATTGGCCCCAAATACGGTCCAAATCGTGAAATCTGAAGGATAGGTAAGGTTTCTTAACTTGCATTGTGTTTTAGGTTTAGGAATTTTTTTTATTTGTTTGCTGTCCGAATTTGTGAACTCTAATCAAAGCGTTTGTTGTAGGTTTTGTAACCCTAATCTACTAAGGTTTATTTTTTTGCATTGTGTGAATTTTTTTGTTTGAAAAGTTTGTATGTGGCAAAAGTTTGCTTTTGGTTTACAGCCCTTATGTTACAAGTTTTCATTACCATTATGACATGTTTCATATAGTTAAATGCTGACATGTTTCATTGTAGGTACCCTAAACAAATGACGAGCCGCAGAAGACCAAGCGATGAGGGCAATGAGTCACTTGAGAGACGCACCAAGCATAGGCAAGAGCGGCCTTCTTCGTCAAGGCGACAAGACGAAGAGCCTGATACTGTTGACCTCCCGTATGGGTATCTGTTTGAGGACGACGCTGCCGTCCACGCTTCATTCGTACGTGACCATTTGAACCGGCCGTTATGTGCTCCAAAATCTTTGGATACAGCCTTTTTTGATAAGGAGGGATTTGAAATTGTGGGGGTGTTGGAGGCGGCACATCTGAGGGTGTTGGCCGAGACCCTATGTCCGTATTCAGAGCTTATGGTGCGGGCCTTCTACCATAACCTCTCCTCTCTCGCTTCAACGTGTGTGTATGTGAGAGATTGTTTTTTCTCTGATATTATATAAGAAAAATATCCCCATTATATTATTTGCATACTTGTTTTTGAATTTACCGGAATAGTTGATTGGATAGTTGATACTATTGTCCATTAGAGTAACTTATATAATTAAATTATATCGCTCAATTCTTCAAATATGCTATATGAACAAGATTTTATCCTTATTATTTATTTTTTTTGAAATTAATTGAACATAAAACTAGTGTAAAGTTCATTTCAAATATTTTGCACTATAATATAAATTTTAGGGCAGCTTTATAGTATGTTTGATGTGAAATAAACCAAACTTATAACTTTGTTTGATGTGGAAAAGTTTTAGCTATCATGCACTGGTTGTGCAGAAGTAGAATAATTATTTAAAGAAAAGTATTTATTAGGAATTATAATAAAATGATATTTGATGCCTTTGTCATTTGATATTTGGCTCTTTTTGTAAATCTATAGTTTTGGCCTTAGCCACTTGACTATTTTCAAGACAAAAGTGTGGGATAAATTCATCAAGTAAATCTACAGCATTGGCCTTTTGCATTTGATTCTTTTTCATAAGAAGGGTAAAATAGACATATTGATTAAGTTTCTAACATTGTTAAGAATGAAATTGGATAGAAAAAAGTATAGTATGTAAGTGATTCAAAGACAAACCATATAGGTATTTAAACTTTTCTCGTAATTTTTTTTACCTATGATTAGGGGTGTGCATGGGTCAAATTAAATTGAATTTTTTAAAGAACTGAACCGAACTGGTTTAAATTAATTCGATTCAAAGAACCAAACTTTCTTTTTACCCCAAATTGATTCGGTTCGGTTCGAAACTGATTCAGTTCAGTTCGACAATAATTTGGTTCGGTTTTAAAGTCGCGTGGATTGAAGCTATTCTGGAGTAGAATCGATTCTCAAAAGAATCAAAGTAACTAGAAAGACCAAGAATCAATGACTAAAAATTGGGGAAAATGTAAACATCTTTAAAAAAATCATCAAAGTCAAGCGATGAATCTGAACTAACCCAAACAGAGAGCTGCATTAGACTGAAACAATAATTAATAAAGCTGAAAAAGAGAGAAAGAACCCGAGTTTTTACACTATGGTTATTGCAGCGGTGGTATTGAGATACCTCATGAGCGACGATTATGAATGAATTTGGAACGAAAAAAATGATAGAGCGATTAGGGTTTGTGAGATGTAAATAAAACTCAGTGACAAGGGATTGAATATGAATCTAATGTTTTATAAACGGTTCGGTTCAGGGAAACATTTGTTATACTATTTCTTAACTAGTTTAGAACTAAAAACTAGTTCTAGTTCAAGAATTGCTTTAAAAAAATAGTTTTTTTTGTGTGGGTTGGTGCAATTCTCAAACTAGATGAGTTCTTTTAGAATTTTTGCACACCCCTACCTATGATGCAAATTAAGGTACTGATTCATATTTAGATGGTATTTAAAACTTAAATGATCGATAAGGTTTTTTTTAATGTGATTAATGTTTCTCATGTTATAAGAGATAAAATTATCTCCTACATACATAAAAGCCTGTGGGGCTCATGTGGGTCCATGTGAAAAGAAAAAAAAAATATGCCCCCCACCAATGTTGTTAAAATCAAGATTTTAAGTAAAATCGGAAAGAGATTAAAAAATCGTAAAACGTAGAATCGTAATGTAAAAAAATCGTAAAAACATAAAAGCGTTTGAAATATTGGTAAAATCGTTTTGATGAAAAAAAATCGTAAAAACGTAAAATCGAAGTGATAAATCGAGATTTTAACAACTATGTCCCCCACACTTTTACAGTTTTATGTGTGTGTAGGAGATAATTTATAAAATTTATAAATTATCTCCTACAACATAAAAACACTAATATCTTTTTTTATAATTTTTTTCAATAATTTGTAATTTTAATTATTTTCTTATTTTAATTTTGTTTAATATTGATAATGTATAATTAATTTAGAGAATTTTCCCTTTTTTATGAGCATTTAATGTTGGTTGGATTGTAATTAGTCATCATTATGAACTTTTCCTCTTTTAGGAGAATATAATTAACTTTGTTTATAATTGGCCCATTAAAATTCATACATCAATTAAAAAAATGGAGAAAGAGTAGTTATTTTCAGAATCTAAAGAATTTGTTCTCCTTCGGAAACTTAGTTGAACAAGGTTATTTTGGCTAGCTACCTGTAAATTAATGTCTTGTCAATCAAATTGCTAGTTTGATTGTGGTGATATAGCTTAACGCATCGGTTCTTGTTCTTTCTACAAGCAAGAGTCATTCTATCAATGGTCGAGGGTTTTCATCTCGTCGAAAGCTAGGGTTTAAGTGTCTGATATATCGGCTTTTTGACCCTTATAACCCTTTACTAATAATTAATTACCGAATTGACTTTCTTTATAAACTATTTCAAAAATTTAACCCCCTCAAAAAACATAACACCAATCTGCCCCTGTTTGACCGTTGACCACGAAGCCTACCCGGGTACACCCCTACCTACCCGGGTATCTTTTGAAATTTTTTGTTTACCCGGGTAGAAAGGTGTGTACCCGGGTATTGTTCTTGATTGCTTGAATTATTTACCCGGGTACGGATGAGTGTACTTGGGTAAAAGTTTGAATTATTTACCCGGGTAGGTAGGGATCTACCCGGGTAAATAATCATCTGCAACCGTGGTTTACAGGCCTTCTTCTGGATTCTGCGCTCTTGCATTCCGCAACCAATGTATTCCTTTGGATCAAATATCTTATCTTTGG